CATTGCAAAACAAGCACCGTCCTGCAGCTATATACGTGTAGTCAGGTAAGCAATATAACGAACAGATCAGTCCCAAAGCTTCAGCAGGACGAGCGGCTTCTGCACACAAGAAAGTCGAGAGACAGAAGGGTGAAGGGGTGGATTACACGGCTCTACGCTCACCTCTTCATTTATCCAGTGCTTCCTGAAAAAAGCGAATTTAGCACTTCCCCGACAAGTGATGCAGCTCTTCCTTCACTAGCACTTAGCGGTTTTTCATTCAGGTTTTGTTTTCATTACTAGCACTTTTCTAATTTCCCTCACTTTGTGGACATTTTTGTTTTTCGTGTTACCACTTTTTCTTTTTCGACTTTTTGCAATTCTGCACTTCAGTAAAATTTACAGTGCCTCCTCAAAAAGGCAACTTCTTCGCTTAATACGGCTGTTCTGAAGCATTAATTGAATTTTCCCCAGTTTTTCATTGAGCCCATGTGAATACAGATGAATTATGAATCATTTATAAATGCAGACGTCAGCGAAACAAACCTAGTTAAAAGAATGGACAGTTTTATTCGTTGTGATTTGGAAAGCAGTAATGGAATGTCCCGTGTTCAAATCTCTCTTAATCTCCTTTCGACCATTCCTACTAATATGTTCCAGAAGAGATCGAGTGCTAGAGGAGATCGGTCTTTCGCTAAGATTCCACCGGAAATTGTCCGGTAAGAGAAGGATGTGTGGGTGGCATAAACTCGCGCACGTGCTCTTCTTCGAATTCTTCGCTAGCTGTCAAGAAATTGCCAAGAATGACGAGAATTTGCGAGTTCAACAATTGAAAACGTCGGATTCTTTCCACATACGGCTGAGGCGCTAAAATAAAAATCAATGGTAATAGAACTATAGCAGGAAGGAAAACTGCCACTTACAACTCCATTGACAGTCTCATCCTTTCCATCAAATTTCTGAATTCGGTGAAGGTGATAGCAGAAATCGAGAACTTCAAAGCGTCTATGTTGTCCCAAAAGAGCTATTATCGTCATGCCGGCCCACTGCAGGGAATCGCCGAAAAGTTCTCTTCAAAGCGGAATAAATGAGCAAACTATCGGAAACGTGACCTCATGCACACTCACTCCACAAGCCTGTCGTCGTCAGAGACTCGAGGTTGGCATATGAAGAACTGAAGAGCAGACCACACTCGATGAAATTCTACACATTCATCGACCCACATCACTCCATTTGTGGGATACCCACCAGTGAAAATCTGAATCAAACACTATATGATAGAAATAAGTGAATGTTAGTGGGAAAGTACGGTCAAAACGGAAATTACATAGAGGCCAACGACAGAGGACTGCTGTGTCAGTTTTTGATGCCCCGCAAATACAAAGAATAGCGAGTTGCAGAAGAATCTATCTGGTGAACGGCTCGAGGTGTGTAAGATGGGAGGAAAATCAAGGAAAGTTCAAATGTTTGCGCTAAGTCTGCGCCTACAGATAAAAAATGAGAAAGTGATTTGTGGCAAAGTCGGGAAGAAGAAAGCGAACAAAGCTGCGAAAATTATAAAAATGATACAATAAAATGACATAATTCAGGGGCGTTCCTGTCATCGCGTTTTTCGTGATAAATTCTTGAGAGAGTCACAAAAGGAATGCCAATGGCAAAGAAACGGGAAACCGGGCGATGTTGACCATCAGAAATACAAAGACAGCGATAAAATCTGGAAGATTAGCTCAGGCAACAGTGAACAAAGACACTCTAAAACAAACAGACGATTGGAATCTCAACCAATATTCGCAAAAACCTGCAGCGATCTTCGAGTGCTACCATTCTATGAACATCAAGCATTTGCATGCAATTGGCAAGACGGACGTGCATGGTAACTGGGTCCAAGCGACATTTATATTGCAGCAACCTAATACTCTTCGACTCTTATGTAAGTGAAGAGATAAGGAAGAGTAAGGTTCTTGGTGAGCTGCGTACTATTGGCGCATCATAACACCAAGTCTACTGCCGCAGATGTATCCCATTTACGATATTCTGCCCTAAACATACCGAGTCATCTCCAAGCATCTGTCGAATCCTCCTCAAGAACATTTCGAAAATGTTTAATCCACAACAAAGTCGTTCCTTAGTCATAAGCTCGGCCTCTCTGGATATCGCGATTTGCTAGAAATATCAATCAATCAAACCAAATTATTACTTAGTTTGCGTTTCAATAAGCCTTATTTTAAATCACAAAGGACTTAAAATCTGGAAGCACTGTGTCAAGGGAAAAACCTGGATAAAAAATGGAAAATAGGTCACTGAATTGCCTTCTTTCTCAAAATCAGACGAAGGAAACGCAGCTGAATACGGGCATGAAAGCTATACAAAGGCGAAGTCGGCGATTAAAATGATGTTAGCGCTGCTAAGTGACGGTGGAGACCACCGCCAGTAATTGACAAACGGGAAGAAACCGTTCACAAGGACGAAAATCTTCTCTCCAATAGCTGCGGAACGTAATAGCATTGATTGAGGGGGTGGGGGAATCTGTGGTGATGGACATCCATCCTAAGGCCTTAACGACTCAGCCTTGTTACTTCGTGTCGCCAAGAAGGTATATGCTAAGGCCCACTCCATATTTCTCACGCAAGAGCTCAATTTCGTTTGGGAATCTCAGACTTGGTCTTTAAGGAGTGCTCTCCAGAGTATCACAGCATACCTTATCATCTCCAAACTTCTCAACGACATTAGTGAGCTGAATACGAGAGTATTTCTCCTCAAGCTTAGCAAGTTGTTTTTCTTGCTCAGCAACACCTGAAACTCGTACCATTATTACCTAAAAGCGTCATTTCTTCGTTTCGGACACATTCGTCCCAAATATGAAGTTAGACTAGAAGCAAACGGACACTTGAGAAAGAAGAAACCTTTCAATAAAAGGTACAACAAGGGCAACAAACTTTTGGCTGGTGGCTTCGGAATGGAATGACAGTTTGTGAAAGCAGCTGCGGCAAGTAGATCCTGCACCTCCTCTTGAGCCATACCTGATTCTAGCTGGTGACAAAAGAGAATAATATTGCCCAATTCGCGCAGATCCTAAAAACTGAACTCAAAAGCAAGAAATCTCATTGGTGAGCGTCTTCTGATTGAATAACAGCCTTCAGCTCAGCTTCGAAAGACAGGAACTAGAGCGTCCTCTACAAAAACAGAAAAGAATTCAAACGGAATACCTGACAGAATTCGCCTTTCAATTCGCCATACTTTCCCACGCCTCGAGATGATGGAAGTAATATTGAAGCACACCTACAAAAATTATTTCTGTTTCAGCTTGTGGTATCAGAGTTTCAAGTGGTGGAGGCATTCGGACGGTTGTTATAATTGATCCACCTGCTTACGTAGTCGGCGCTATCGTGGTGGGGGGGGGGGTAACTTGATATTTTTGCATATCAGGGAGTAAATTGCTCGCAAGTGGCGTTTCAACTTGTCAGAAATCAGTATTCGAGCCATTTTTAACAGTTCCTCCAGGATCACAGCAATGCCTGAATAGTTGATAAATGCTCACACTTTAGTAATCAAGCAACTAGGAAGTCTCAAATACCTTGGTATTGCATTAGCCGTGCGATCGCTTTCAAATGTGGAATTCCAATGAAGCGTGAGTAAGAGAAGAAAATGTTCGCAAATGCTGCATTCAATGACTTCGACCCCCATAGATAGATGAACGAGACCTGCGGTTTCTTTTCACGAGATGGCGTCTTCCGAAATACTTCCTGGACAGATGCAAAAAATAATCACGGCACCACACAATAATGTACTGATTACCAATTTCACATAAATAGCGGATTACATCATGCAATAAAACGGTTGCAATCGATCAGTTGAAAAAATTAAAAATTCAGT